TACCAATACTAAATTTACAGGGGAGGTTTAGCCTCCCTTGTATTCAACCAGAAATCGCCACTAGTAGAGTGGTACTGATTGCTGGAAGAAATTAATATAAAAAAATATCACATTCTGGGTTCTTCCCAGACTTCTTTCATTAAGAGGCATCTGTCTGGACCACGGGGTGTATTAATTTCAGACACGTTCTGTGGGCAACCATATGGTTTAAATGAAGTTTTTAATACATTTCAAGTTTTGAAACAAAGTCTCTCTCTAATTAACCTCCATTAGGACACAGTTTGTGGAAAGTATTTTTAATTACTGTTAGATTACCAGATTACTACATTAAAAAAAAAACTGTTAGGTACCATTCAGCTCTGCAAAGTGAGTGGCCAATCTGTTATGGATTTTAGGTTTCATTGAAAAAAAAATGGCAGCAAACTTTATGAGATCGTCAAATATAATTAAGAAGATATAGTGAAGTTAAATTCACATTAATAAACAAAACTAGGCTCAAAACCTGTGTGAGCTGAATGTACTAATAACCTTTTTTATTTTATACAATTTATGCAAGAAAATGACAGCTAAAATAGACTCTTAGTGATTGTTTTATCAGAACTATTTAGGTCAAATTATAGTAGTCTGCTTGCAATGGACAGCTGTTACAATATTATCTTATGTTCCTCTGGCAAAAAAAAAGCAATATTTAAGGAAATATTTTAATATTATTGCTTTGTTATTGCAGGTGCAGGCAGGTCAGTGGATTTAAAAAATCAGTGAAAAATATCAGTTACTATGTTTAGGTAGTAATGTCCTTATTTGGAGGTGATTAATTATTACTTTAAATCCTTGTATTTGCATTACAAGGAAAAATCAAAAGTAGATAATTTTCTAGGCTAAAATCATAATTTTAGGCTAAAAAGACTAGGACAACTCGATTTTGTTCAACTTTTCCCTTCTACATGAATCTTTTATTAGCTAAAGAATATATGTCAAATTATTATACTAGACTGGACAGATGATGCAGACCTGTTTATATCCAATTCTAATGGATTTCCTATTTTTAAAAAGAGGATTTAATTTTCCATTATGAAAAAAAAAGTTGAATCTCTTGTATGACCCTAATTGATTCCCATGTGTGGTAGAATCATGTCAGCAGAGAGCAGCTGCCCAGAGTAGAGCTGCTTATGTTAGTTCTTTAGTGAGATAACATCCAAGCCTACTGTAGGCCATTAGGTCAAATCAGACACAGTAACCTCTGTTTAACTGAGGAAGGGAACCAACAGACAGTTTCAGACACAAAAGCAGGATTTCAACAAATATGTCAAAAACTGTCAAAATGATTTCTTGGACATGTGGACAGATATATAAAATATGTACTTATTCAGTTTATCAATTAAACATTTGTAATTAGGGGTAAGTAGTTCTTGTTGCAGCTCATGTTAATAGTTGCACAAGGAAACTGATAATCATTAACAATTAAACAGCATCTTTTAACAGAGGAAAACCATCCAAACATATTAAGGTATATATTAGACTTTCTCCTTGTTCTGCCATGCTGAGGTCTCAACAGTTTAAACCTGAGCGACCTGTCTGCACCCACACTATAGCAATGAGTGAACACATTTATCTTATTGTCCTGTGGGGTAATTTATTGGAAGTGGCTAAACCCTTAAAATGTGTGATTGGTTGTCATTTCCTGCTAAAAAGTATTTGTTTACTTAATCAAGTCAGAAAAGTAAATAAATTCACCCACAAAAGGAGAAAAGATCTCAAGTAATTTCATCATTACAATAAAGTTTTGTATGCACTTTAGAGATACATAAGTAAATGTTGTCAAGTATTGCTGTAATTTTGTGTGCATGTTTTTTGTTTTTTTTTTTGGACATGTGTGATTCATCCCATGCACTTATGCATCTCTCCTGTGCATGCGTGAATCTTGGATGCAGGTGTACATCTTGTCATTTGCATGTGCAAATCAGCTGTGTGTATTTATGAATAATCAAACATTTTCAGCTCCATGTGGGGCAAGTTTAGACTGCTACTTTTTAAACTTCCTGTAGAAGCTGCTGAAACTGACAGTTTTTTTTTTTTTTTTACTGATTAACAATTCTTCAAAACACATTTAGACTTGTGAAACATGTTATTTAAAGTTATTTTCACAAAAAAAAAAAAAAAAAAACTAAAAAATCCAACGGATTAAATCTCTTATTTGATTCTTAATGGGAGAGAATGGGCTCACATACAGTAGCAGTATTCAGAGTAAGAATTGTCTCTGGGATGTCAATGTTGTTCTATTGACCTGAAGTAATTTTATTTTAGCAAGCACATCCTTATACAGCTGTTTACCTACTTGAGCTCTGTCTTTGCACTTATTCCCAAAAGAGTAAAAAAAAAAACAATCCACTGGAGTTTGTTTCCAAGTTTGAAGACGTTTCGCTTCCATTTTGAATTGAAAAAACTTCCTGGATGGGAAGCGAAGCGTCTTCAAACTTGGAAACAAGCTCCAGTGGATTGTTGTTTTTTTTTGGAATGACTGTGACCTGGATGACTGAGAATCTTCACCAGCTCTCTGCATTTACATTTGCTTTATTTCTAATGTTTTGTGTAACAAAAAAAACAGTTTAATAAAAAAATAAAATAAAAACTGCTTACTAAGCATCCTTGGAACACTGAGTATTTAAGATTCCTCTCTTACTTTCATTTATTACTGGGAACATTTTTGAATATATTCACAAAGTGCACATTATGTCGATAATACAACCTATTTTAGATTTGATTATACCAAAGCCTATTATAGATGTTTTTTATGATTTATGTCAAATTGCATATGCTTTTCAGTGATAAAAAGTGCTGAAAAATAAATAGATTGTTAATTAATTAATAAATAGTGAAATAATTCAGACCTACTATCATAAAAACTCTCTTAAAGTTCACAAACTATACATTCATACTCTGTTACTGTTTACAGGGTACATAGAATCATAAATGCATGCAATCTACTCTGACAGTTCTACATAAACATTTATTTTTCTCATCCAAAAGCAAATAAATGCCTTAACTTGTTTTTATGCATTAGTGTGTGATGTGATAACAGAAGAAACAAAAATGTGAAATTAACCTCAAATCAAAATGATACTATGTAACTGTTGTCAACTTTGAAAGGTCAACACCCCCACCTAGTGGTCAAGAAAGGCATCACAAAAATCGTGATTTTTGATTCTGATGGGGCTATTAAACAGTTAGCTTCAAGCACCCCTTCTGCTTCACTCATAACTGAATGAATGCAGGGTAACATTAAAGCAACAAACTGTTGTGAAATTGGTTATGAAGAATGGAAAATAATATCAAAATGTATATCCTCTTCAACCGTGGATTATTCTGCATGCAGAATACTACAAAGATGTGACTGCAGAGGTTGATTATTTTGTCTCCTCTGGGCTGCTCTGCTAATTGATATACTTATGAACAGGGACTTGATTCTGCTTCAGGCAGTTATATTTATACCTCTGTTTGGCCTTGTTTTTCTGTAGTTGTAAGTTTGGATATATTTGTATCACTGCTTTTTAGAAGTTAACTTGACGTTGGAGTTTGTATGCCTCAAATTTGCCTCTTTTAAAGAAATACGTCTGTTTTCAAACCATCTGTAGATATGTGAGACCATTATATTGGTTGTGAAAGCAACTCCAAGGAAACCTAAGCCTGACCTCCTCTAACTACACTAAAATACAGTATATAGGGGGCTACTTTATCTTTGCTAACTACTTTCCTGGGTAAGCAATCACATCCTTGGACTATTTGAAGTAAAACAGCTGGTAGCTGCCTGTGCATCAAACTTCCAGACTCATGATAAGTTCACACTGGGCAGGATGGTTTGTTTGTTTTTTCATTGACAGATGGTGATATGACAGCAAACTTCATTGAAGAATCCTCTCTGTGTCGTGTGCTAGACAACACACATGTACATGCTGCTCTTTGTGTAATTATACCTGTCTGTACACTGAGCACTGTAACTGAAATCAGGTTCATAGATTGTTTCCATAGTTATGACCAATTGAAGCTCATTTTATTCTACTTCTGAAGCAAATAAGACCCCCCATCAAATGTGTTATATTACTAATACAGTACCTCCTCATCATGTCTGAAGGAGGATATCTGTTATTCAGTATGTTGTTGTTTCCCTTTTTGTGTTTTTTTTTTTTATTTCAGTTGATTGTGATTATGGCTTACAGCCAATAAAAATCTAAAATGTATCCATCCATCCATCTTCTCCCGCTTAATCGTCAGAGTCACAGTGGGGCTGGTGCATTTTCCCTGCAGTCTATTGGTGTAAAGCGGGGTACACCCTGGACTTGTCAGTCCATCCCAGAGCTTTGTAGAAAATGAGAGAATTAAAAAGGTACTTTTAATAGAGAAATATTGGAGTTTTATCTTATATAAAAGGACATCAATGTACAATACAATAAATGCACATAGAACTTGGCTCAGACTCCTTCTGTTTGATTTAAGACATTAATGTTTACGTGATGATCTTATGCCTCTGCTAAGGAAGTCCAGCATTATATAGGGGCATTCTTCGTGCTGAGTCTTCTAACCTGAGTTACACAGAGAATTATCCTTGGTAGCTATGCTTTTGAATACATTTTCTTTAAAAAAATAAATAATATCTCTTGAATTGATAAGAATATTGCTCCATTGCAAAGAGTTCTATCAGCAGCCTATTCACAGTGGCATTTGCCAATATTCATTTGACAGCAGCAATCAGATGCACTATATGAATTTGTAGAGCTCCTGGCTATAATAGTTGACTATAACAAAAGTTGAATTATAATTGTTCAATGTTATTTAGTGCATAATAGGGTGAAAGAAAATACAAATTAAACATTAAATGTCACCAATTTTAATTTTGTACATATTAATATAACATAAAATAAACCTACTAACGATTGTAAGGCTTAGGGTGTCTTAATCTCGGAGACCAGGAGGTGGCGATATTGCATATTTCTTCGATGAGACAATCTATTACAGTGCAACGAAAAAGACGGCTAACCGGTAGCTGCAGTGTAAGTGGCTACTGGGGCTGAGCTAACAGGGCCAAGTGGGGGAAGCACTCTTCTGCTGTTGCCAAAGCACAAGGTAATGGGGTGAAACTAGCGCAGTGTCAATTAAAAGAGTGGATCGAAGTATATTCATTGAGTAGCGAATTTCCCTCTGGTGTAAAACGCAGTGTCGAGCCGCTAGATGCTAAAATCAACACATCGATATGACAGAAAGTTCGCCAACACTTGCTGAGCGGCTAAACCTGTATGAGTTGGTGCTGCATTCAAGTCCTCCTTTTGAAACTCGGGAAGTTCTCTTTAATTGTTTTTGCTCTTGCCGCCGCTTAAATTTGATCCCATATTAGTGCCGCAATGAGCAAACTATTCTGTCTGAAATACAAATGGTGGTACATTCTGCCTTTTTGTAGTTCAAATTCGAAAATATGAGTGAAATTTTTGATTATAACAAACCACGTCCGACATTCACGAACATTTTTGAACTTCCATTGCTTGGTGACTGAAAACCTTTAAATCAGGTCTTTGATAAGTTTCCTGTAGTTATAACAAAGGGAGAAACTGTTGTCTCTGTTTTTAAATACAAAGCCAAGCAGAATTTAAGAAATTAAAAATATAAATTACTGAAAATAGTGCATGTCCAGTTGTTTTGATGTCTTTTTCTGTCAAAACAAATGATATAATTTGATAGAGAATTATTGGAACTCCTAGGTAAATCATACATGGTGTGTGTGTAAGTAAAATTTGGCAACAAGGTTATTACAGTTATTGGTTAATATAGAAAAATGGCAACCAAAAATGAATGAGGAAATTGAGTTATTGATTTTTTAAGCTAAGAAATATATTTCAATACTGAAATTTAGATATGAATAAACCCCAATTATTTATTATTTAAAATGGAATCGGATAAAGAAATTTCAATGGCTGAAAACCTAATTTTATAAACTATCTGGCTAATTCAGAAGAGGCTTTAGCAAATGCAAAGATGGAGTCTAAAGTAGAAAATTGCTGAGGAAATTTTGGATGGGCCTGTTTCTTGTGAGTAATTACTGGACCAGCACAATGACCAGCAAGGGGTTATGAAAAAGTTATGCATTTACAAGTGGAGCCATTGCTGGTGAAGATTTTCAGTCATCCAGGTCATAGTCATTCTAAAAAAGTAAAAAAAAAAACTGAACGTGTGTCCCATCCAAGCTTCCTGAGTGGGAAGTGAAACTTGAAACACAAAGGCCAGTGGTTTGTTTGTTAACTTTTTTGGAAGTTGGTCCATTGTTTATAATAAAGAAGCAAAACATTTTCACTGACAGGACCTTTCAACACAAGATCTATGGAGCTAATGACCCCAGTTTAAAGCTACTTTAGCACAGGAGATTCTGAAAGATAAACACATCAAAGTATTTTTTTCCTTGTATCAAACTAGACATATTTGTTTTTTTACCTACAGGTCAAATCAAAGTGACTGACATTTTCTTATGCTTTTGGGGCACATTAATGGTATTCCTGAAATACCCAAATCCCTGGAAGTCATAGTGGTTAAAACAGGAGGAATTGTCCGTTATTTCTAAATATATGTCCCATTGAAGTATGAAACATGAATTCTCAATTCCTGTGGAGTATTTTGGCTGAGTATTGTCTTATTTTGAAAGTCTAGCATGGTTGTTTTTAAGGATAGGACAGGACAGGGTCAGATCCATGAGTGATAAAGGCCTCTGTCTTGCCACTGAAGAGTTCAGAATGGTATAAGATAAACTTATTTTAAGTAAGGAATTGTTACTGAGCAAATAAAAGACCATTAGAAGTCTTCCACCCATGCATGTCCACTTACAGGTGTAAGAATGGCAGGTTTTGGTTGCCAAAAAGTGATTAAGGCCTCCATCTTGTCACTGAAGGTTCAGTGTAGTTTGAAATAACTTAAGGGAAAATAATTTTTTGTATCCGACCAATGCTGGATCTTTGCACCTTTTCATTTGTTTTTTTTAAGTCACCAAATCCTATGTTTGGCTGTCATCCATGGCTCTACTGCTACAAAAACGAATGGTCATGGCAGGGGAGAAATAACATTACTACCGGTTATTCGCTATGATTGGTCGGTCAAGTTGACTTTGTTATATGTTAGTTGCATTGGTGGACCTGCGTAGAACGGAAACTGATAGAATGTGACCTAAACAATTCAATTCAATTCCCACACTTGGGCAGAGATTTTCTAATAATTCACAATCTAAAATCATCACATCACACAGCCATAGTGTGTTTATAAAAGCAGATTTTGTGGAATGCCGTATTCGTGTTGGTTGATGGTGAACTCGTATTCAGCATTTACGTCGTATCTTGCGCTAGTTTTCAGGTCAAATGATTTTTGTTTTTGTTATTTTTACTTCTCTTACAGTGTAACCGCAGCATGCATAGCTCTTATGTTTTTTCCACTGCTTGTCTTTTGCTGCTCCTTTAATGCTGCTGCTCTGCCCTTAGTCAGCAGAACCTCAATCTCCAATCCAGTTAAGTTTTTTTTCTTTGCTTTCAATGCATCTTTATGAATGAGCTTCTTCTTACAAGCATTGGAAGTCTTACCCTTATTTAGCATTATTGGGGTGGTAATTATGCAAATTTACACTTACACACAGGTGGACTGCATTAAGCTTACAGACTCATTTACTGAACTTAAGAGCGTTTATTAAATTGGATGTGAGAAATATTAGCCAATGTTGGGAGAAAAAGTCAGAGGAATTTACGTCAAATATGAACATGTTAAATAAATGAGGCCCAATGACACACTCCAACTTATTTATACACATTTTATCCATATTTTAAGCTTGCTAGATGTGTGATTACAATGGAAAACTGAGGCTTTTACTTTCAGTTTTGAAAGCTGGGTATGTTGTAAATAGGTGATGATAAAGTATGAACTAAATAAAGAGGCAAAGTACTGGCTCTAAAGTGCTAAATGAACCAGATGCTGCTACCAAGGAGAAGGTAGTCAGATAAATGTTTTATTATGATCCAACCATGTACTTTTGCAAGTTTTCCAACCACTTTAAAAACTGTTGGAACGCTGCAACAGCCAGGCACGGAAATATTTTTATCCAGATCAAATCTAAAAAGTTCTGCTAAAAAGCAGTTTAATACAAGAAATGAAGAGAAAAAAAAGTAAATTTTAGTAGTAAACTAACAGAAAACCAAAAAATATAAAAATATTTTTAAAAAGGTGATATCAACAAATATAAAAAATATTTAAAGAAGCTGTTAAAAAAACATAATAAACAAAGATTTAGAAGTTTATTATGGCTTTTTTGTTTGCTTTACAAAAATATATTTTTTATTGCAAAATAAAAAAAAATAGAAAACAAAACAGACAACAAAAACAAAAAAAAATTCAATTTCAAAACTTAAAAATGATCATGATCAAAAATAGATACAAATCAAATAGATTTAAAAAATGCAGTTTTTTAAGTCAACAAACTAAGAAATAAAAGAGTGTTGTGATTCTATAGTTAAATTCTATTCCCAGCCCGCTGGGAATTTATGTTTCTGATACTTTAAGATGTTTATTGCCCTCCCCTGTAGGGGTGGTAAAATATCTTATTTAATCAGATATTATTTCAGCTGTTATATACTGTTTATGACACACAGTCCTACTAACCGTGTGTTAGAACAATAAATGAAAGAGTGATTCGAGCACTAATCATGGTCAAACAGTTATTTCTGCACATACATGGAATAAATTCACCACAACTTCTGTTCAAAATATAAGATTTTATTAACAAAAATCATTCAGCTCCAAGTCAAACATATTTCAGTTTAACACTCTCAACTAAGACTAGTAAAACTCAACTAAACTAAACTAACTACTATGTACAAAGAGGAAGGGGAAAACGGTTGAAAAACATATTACAGTTTAAGATGGATTCTGTGTTTGAAACCAAAGTTTATCTGGAATAATTTGGAATGTGATCAAATTAGCTTTTCACTAATTTTAAAGAAATTGGAATGTTTTCAGACCAATTGACAATGCAAATCCATGAGGTGAATAAAACATTATTTGGCCAAATAATGTTCTATTGAATGATTTGCTTAATCAAGAACCAATAACCTTTAGCTAAATGATTCTTTACCCTCTTTGAAATAGCTAGCAGCGAATAGACATTGGGATTCCACTAAATGACTCTTGGTCATACTTGGCAATGGAAATGTAATGAGCATTTGAGGAACACGTGAACACTAATGTTCTATCAGTGTTAAATCCTTAGTGAATAAAGCTTATCTAAGCTTTAGCAACAGCTCAACTCATATTCCTGTAGCATAGCGTAGCATGCAGTCCATTCTTTAGCATCAATTAGCGTTGTCTTTACTGAGCAGTAAACGCACGATATGATTAGCATCATCAAAAGACACATTGCTTGTTCTGTCCCTAATCATGCCAGACCTGCAAACCTTTTTCCATGTCCGTTTGGAAAGCTTGATTTTCATCCAGTTTTGCAGCTCTGCAGTCAGGGATTCTTTGTCTCAGTCTCACAGCAGGGGTCCCCTCAGTCTCACACCAGGGCATGGTCTTCATCCAGTTTGGCTCTGTAAGTTCTGAAACTCAAGAGAAATGTGTTGCAAAGGTTCTGTTTGCAGCAGTTAGGTTCTGAAGAGTTCTGACTCATCCTTGATGGTTCTGGGGATCTGGTTTCCCTGGGGCCTGCATCTCCACTGTGGGCCACAGTGGGCCCCAGCTTTGAGAGCAGGAGCAGAAGCAGGCTGGATCAGACGAGGGAGAAAAAGTGAAGAGGCAAAAGAGAAAGAATCCTGTGTGCTCTGTGGTTTTGTTCTGCCCTCACAGAGGGGGGTAGGTTTTCACACCTCTGTGACTTCCATGTGACTGCTTTGGCTGAAAAAGGGGGGCTGCAGAAGTCCCCCAGCTGTTATTCACCAAAGTTGCATTTTCTTCTCTGGTCATCCTATCAGGATGAAATATGGACACTGCTTCCCAATGTCCAAAAAGTATGATCATGGCATATGGCACAACATATCCCCCTTTTGATCTGGAAATAAAAGATGCAGTTCTTTGTTTTCAGATCACAAATAGGTCCATAAAGCCATGAG